ATAATGTTATGGCCCCACATTGTAAAAGATTAAATTAATATTTGTAAAAAAGAAAAAAAATTACAGCCAATGCGTAAATTAATATTTTTTTCTGTGATTTTCCTAGAAAAATATTTGACATGTTTCAACCTTTATTATATATCTTTTCACTTTTATGTCAGATAACTGCAAATATTCATAAATAACAATTTTGCTGATTTAAATACAGTGAAAAATAATATAATGCTACAGTCAAACGTTGCAAAATAATAAATTACTATTCATTAAAATACAGAATTTTGATACAGCTTTTAACTTCTTTGTTTTATGGCTGACATGTAAATTAATGTTATTTTTTTCCTGTGATTTTACGAGTCCATGTCTGCAATTTCACAAAACAGGGGAAAACTGTAAAATAACAGTATTTTTTAAAGTTGTTTTTACAGTGTAGTGTGAGGTTCAAATATCTGAGACTGTATCAAAAATGTGTCATTATTTTATGTAACCTAGAAATATTCAGAAAGATGGAAAAAAAAAAAAGAAAAGAAAAGAAAAGAAGCAAGTTTGTGGTATTGAGCATGTTAACTTCTTGGTACAAAGAGTCAGATTTCTTTAAGCTGTATCTCTTCCATTAAAGCAGACAACAGTTTGATATTAGATGCTCCTGTATGATATGTCTTCTACGTATCCTCATTAAATGTGTTGCTGCTGTGTTATCTGCTTTATTGTCAGTGTTTAATCCCACACAATAACAATTATTGAGTCAAAACTGACAGCGTTTGGGTGAATTATAACATGAAGACAATAATGGAACTCTAACTATATTTAGTACCCATTGATAGGAAACCACCAAAGGGTTTTGAAGTCATGTGCGCAAGCAAAAAAGTTAGGCTTAAAATATGATTGTGTTCAAAAGCACGGGCCGGACGTTACCACTGAACATGCCGGGGGTTTCCTAGAGCACCTCCTATTTTTGCATTCTCCATGCAGGATGAAAATAAACTAACGTTGGTCCAAGCCTTGAGTTTATCCATTGAATCGGCTGCTCCTCTCTTCTCAGTAGTATGATGAACATGTTTTAAGATGGACACACATTGACTGATTGTGCTGATTCTAAGCTGACTGCTTGAGCTAGGTTTCTTAATAATTACTAACAGGTATTTTTAAAAGCACAATATGCAACATTTCCACAAATTTCTAAAAAAAACGACTGGATGAATGCTTTATATTTTGTTTACTAGTGTTCTTCCGTTATCCCCATTGTTTAAGACAGTGTTGAAAACTGAGAGTAATTTGTACTTTCAATAACAATGACACAATCCCGATAGCCACACTCGCATACTTTAGGGTACTTGAGGGTTTAGGGGTTATTCCACTGTCAAATGATGCAGACATTTCGATGCTATTACGCACCCTTTCTGTGAGTCTTTCCTAAGACACTTGCTAACAGTTCTTAGCAAAACTGGTGATATAAATATGTGTTTGTTCTGCCCTGCACAAAATGTACACAAACCAAGAATAGATCGAAAGATGTCGGTGACGCCATCTGGCTGCCTAACTTTTAGGCAAATGTGTCCTCAAAGGATTTAAGGATGTCCATGGCTTCCGTTTTTTTTCTTTTTCTTTTTTAGCTAGTTTGCTGAACTAAGTATGAATACTGCAGTATTTGCAAATGAAGCAAAATTCCCTTTAAAAATAAACAAAATAAATAAAAATAGCACTCATGAACTCAGTTAAATCTGTGAGGGTTTAGCATTCAGGCCTCTTGGTGGAGATTAGCGTTGGGCTAATAATGTAGCGGTGCATTTCAGTTTGCTCCCAGATACTGGTGTCAAATCCTCTTTAACCGGTGTAGCTGAGAAAACACCAACTGATACTTCAGAGAAAGAAGTAGATGAACTAGCTAGCTAGCCATTGTTATTTTCATTATATAGTTTGTTTTGCTCACAGCTAACAGCGTCAGGCTACCTCACAGCTAACGTTAGCTGCAGTAGCTGCTAGCAATCAGCAACACGTTAGCTAATGATCCTTATGACTATTTCATTAGAATGAAACAACACTGCATAAAAACACGACTAATCTGAATAAATTCTTTTTTGTATGTGAACATAATGTGTGCCTGAGTGATGTCAGATAAATAAACAACAAATCCCATAATCCCGTGTTACTTCCCAACATCATTAAACCACATCTTTTGTTATTGTGTTGACTGAGACCCTTTAATAGCAGAAATTACATACTTTGGCTTTCTTATCATAAGCACATAGTCTGATATATCTAACACTTCTGGCAATTTTAAGGTAAAAGCTGATCATATTTGAATAAACAACTCATTAGTAATGTTCAAAAATAACATGAATACTTGGTTAGAATGGTACTGGGTTAAGGTAACCCAGTATGCAAATTGGGTCAAACTTTAAACCAGTGATCTTTAATGAGCATGACAGAAAGTACAAAAAAAACATCTCTTTTCCCCGTTTTGGTCTCTGTTTATTTATATAAAGTTTCAAGGTATATTACATGCTGCATCCGTCAAAGAAATGTCATAATATAGCACAAAAAGACAATAAAGTAGAGGCAGCGAACGCTCTGGTATTGTTGTTTTGTTTCAGCTCTGACTATTAAGGTCATTTTTCATCTCAGGTCACAAAAAACCGGCAGCAGAACGAGGCGGAACTGCCGTCTAGCTTCATTTCATCTCAGCTGAAATTCTTCCTGCACAAATTCTCTGCTGGGATTAAGAGATGCGAACGTCTGAGGAAGAGGAAAAACTCACCAAAGCGAAGTGGTAAGGCTTTGCAGTGGTCCCCAGGTGGATCCTCTGGACCCTCGCCAGTCAGACATGTTAAACAGATCCACGCTGACCTTATCTGCTGTTTTTGATTTCCCCTTGTCTTCTTCAATGGTCTCTGCCATCAATCTGATATCTGTCATCTGCGTAAGGGGAAAAAAAAAAAAAAAAAGCCTTCCTTTGATTTTGTTGAAAACTCACTATTTGTTTCGCTCGCTCTGAAGACTACCACCAGAGAGCCGTACATCTGGGTCCCAGCGCCGGATGATGTCAAGACTGGCGATGACCCAAAGCCCACCGCACAGAGAGTTCCTCGGAGAGGTCGACTGTGCGGTGTTTTCACTTCCTCTGCCTACATGACATCTTCCTGCCAGGGGGAGCCTCGGGGAGCCGTTTGAGGAGGCCCCGTCCCTGAGCTCAGAGGACAAATTCGACTTATCCTGTCAGGTTAGGTGGGGGAGGGAGGGACGGAGGGAAGCTCCAGACCCCCAGCATGCACCTTTAACTGCCTTAAAATTCACTTTCCATACAGCCTCCTGTGTCACTGGGGAGCCTAGCTCTGTTGTTTTGAGGACCAAGTCTTGTTCAAAGCGATGCCAGACAGGAACTTGGGCTCAGCTGTCGGTGTGTCTGAGCTGCAATCTGCCTGTTAATGCGTTCACTGCAGCGGCTTTTTCAGACTAGAAGACAGAAAGAGGCCCACAGAGACTGGGCTGCTTTTGCTTCGCAAGACTGATTTCTAAACACTTAGGAAATATTTCCAGTAAAAGTTGTCTGAATTTCCTCGGACGTACGGGTTGTAAAGAAAGCAAAGCAACTGCAACAGAAAACTAAGCAGTTCAGTGGTTGATTGCAAGAAAAAAACGGTAACGTTGTGTCATGATGACTGTATCAGAGAGAATCTTCAACTACTGCTGACATGTGAACTAAACTACCGCTAAGAAATGACATGACAAAAAGACAAGGTGTGTTCTGGATCTGCTTCCGGATTATGTTTGCATCATCGACCATCATTACATGTCAACAAGGTTTCACTTCAGTGCTCTGCTGTGACCTCCGACCTCTCACCCCATCTCTGGCTGTTCAGTGGGCCCACAGCAGTGATTTATCCCTCTGACATACCAACAGCTGTGTTGGGAGCTCCGAACACAGTGTGGGCTACTATTTGCCGTGACTAATCGATAACAGACTTCAAAAAACACCAATCGTGAGATTTGGGAAAAATACACCAGTCAGTGACACCAGAAACCCTGAAGCTTTTGCTGTGGCTCCGCAGGCTTCATAAACAACGTCTTGGCAACATTAATGCAAACAATGGAAATGTGTGTGTGTGTGTGTGTGTGTG